AATAATGTAAGCACCTATATTATATTCCTTGTTTATTCTAGTTTTATTTCAAAGGATGAAAGCTTATAAGCAATAATCAAAGAATTTTCGAAATCAATGTTATTTTATTAGAAAATTACCTAACTAAAATATTAACAGTTTTTTAGATTTATCTATTATATATTTAATATTTGTTTGAATAAATTCTTTATGACAACGAATGAATGAACAATGATAAAAAGATTCGTTATCAAGTTTTAGGTATTATATAACACAATGTATTCTTCATAATTTTATAAAAAAAATTTGCAATCGTCTTAAAATTCAAAAGTATAACCTTTTTGATTTTTATCAAACGTTAAATTATCAATACTTGTCTTGTTCATGACGAGAATGTGAAACGAAATCTAGGACAAATAAAGTTTCTATTATAGATGCCCACCTATAACGGTGTGCCACGACACATATACGAGTAACGGCAATGAATCGATTCGCTTTAATAGGCCTGCAATTTTCGTTGGATATAATATACATTGCAGAAGAATCATTATGTCTATATTGATGTCATCTATTGTACAGGTAAATTCTGGGGCAAGTAGGTATGTATTCTTATTTGATCACATCGCACGTCGTCATCAACCACGCAGTATATAACGATAAATAAAATATGATCAATATACACTTTATAAGCAACCGCAACGGACTAATCTATATACATTGCTCTTAAWTATTTGTTTACAGGTCACGAAGACGTTCAATAATAAAAATAATAATAATATGTCCGTTTTGGCCAAACGGTTGTGGAATTTACGGTTTAAAATTGGTCGTGCTAACAAGTCGACAGAAGTTTTTACGAGTGTATTACAAGGAGATGTAGATTTCGCCAAAGAATATTCAGAACTACCAGGTCCTAAGTCTTTACCGTTGTTGGGCAATAATTGGAGATTCTTGTCATATATCGGTAAGTGTATATTACAATATATAATAATAATATGATAGGTGAGGATTACCTATATCCTAATATATATATACACCTAATAATAATGAATACCTATATCAAGTAACCATAAAATATAATTTCTAAGCTATGCCTACAGAGTAAACAAACTGTTTTGTTTTGAAATGTTTTTTTTTTTTTTTAATACATTATTTATTATTAAACGAAAAATAATTATTAATATAATACATAGTTCATGTATACAATAATGTAATTACTATATAGGTGATTTAATAATTGTTATTACATTTCTAATTGATAACAAAAAATACCCAATCGTATTACACACGAGTACATGATCTAATAGGTATACYTATAGTAGTATACTACTTTCAATTTTGTAATATAATATTATGTTGGTACAAAATTATGTAATTTTAATTATTTAACAATTAAAAAAAGAAGTGTTAAGGATGTGGAATACAGGYAGGTTATTATTTATGGAATGTCTGTGTGACTGTGTGAGTACAGTACATTAACGAGCGTTACTGGGAAAGTGCTAAAATAATAACTTAAATTATATGACAATTCAAATGATCCTTTAAATTTCTTTAGGGCCCTAAACCTAGGTATTTCAAAACATTTGAATTTATTAAGCTTTGACTTGATTATATAGAAAAATAGTTACCCAAAGTTAACAATACTTATTAATATATAACATTTATCATGTACAGGGTGACTCACCAAGTATGATCACTCCCTTTTTTCTTTAACAATGCAGTTATATAAATTTTTAATTTTTAARTATATACTTAAAGACCATATTATTTTCCAACTTTTTAGATTTTTTGTACTACTTAAGGAGATACAGATTTTTGTTTTTTAAAATTAAAATTCCTCATTGGCCTCATTTCAACTGTAAATTATTCATATGAAGATGGCTATCTTGTTGTAGAGTTTATTTTTCTGAAAATATTGACTTTCAAAGTTGTATTTTCATTAATTTCCTGATTTTTAATATTTTTTCTTATTTTGATGAAATAAAATATGATTATAACTAAGCAGTAAGCACACTGAAAGCGTTCGGYCRGCCGTATGAGCACGCACGCGGCGCGGCGCAGCGTTTCACATGTCACTGCGGTTTTATAATATTTCACAATTTTTCTCGAAACTAAAAAAAAAATTAAAAATCAGGAAATTAACGAAAATAAAATTTTGAAACGTCAACATTTTCAGAGAAATAAACCCTACAAAATGGCTATAGTGAATTTTTTGGAAATAATTAAATAAAAAAAAATATTTTTTAACTTTTCTACCATAACATCAAAATAAATTAAAATATGAAATAATTGTAGTTCTTATTCCTAAAGCCTTATTAAAAAACTAGAATTTTGATGTCTATTATTTCGAGAGATATCTCAATAGGTAAATCCTTGCGGGACACCCTGTATATTATACATGTATTAAAAACTATGATCGAATATCAGGAAGTACTTAAACTAACCTGCTTCTACTTATTATTGGTTTAAAGCTACAAAATATATAAAAAAAATAAAAAGTCCCAATATTGTACTCCAACAGTCTTAATAGTAAAATGTTATTAAGTATAATATGAAACRCTCAATCTTTTCATATAGGTATATATTTGAAAACATATTTATRAAAATAAAGTTTTGATTTTGTATATGTTGTATAAATATATAGGTGACTATAAAGTAACCGAGATAGACAAACTTTCGTTAAGATTATGGAAAGAGTACGGAGATATAGTAAAAATCGAAAAATTACTCGGGAGACCGGATATGGTGTTTCTGTACGACGCGGACGAGATTGAAAAAGTGTTCAGAAATGAAGAGCTTATGCCGCATCGACCGTCTATGCCATCTTTAAATTATTACAAGCACGTTTTAAGGAAAGAATTCTTTGGTGATCTGGCCGGTGTTATAGCAGTGTAAGTGTTCACAGTCACGCGTGTTGATTATTAATTTATTTTTTAATATTTGTACAATAATAGTTATTCTTTGAACACTTATATAATATATAAAAAAAAGTATATACATAAGAAACTTAATAGGTACCTACGTAAATAGTTTTACGTCACACATATTATATTTAAGTACACTTATAATAACACTAATAACATTATAAATATAGTCAGTGGCCTTATTGCGTGACCAGAAATCTATACATATACATTACCTACAGTATAATGAATTTGAATTGCTGTATTAGATTTTGAACGACTTCACTAACGGTACCTGCCTAATTTCATGTTTTAGGCATGGTGAAAAATGGTATGAATTTCGAACTAAAGTACAACAACCTATGCTGCAACCAAGAACAGCAAAATTTTACATCGGAACTATTGAAGATACGGCAACAGCCTTTGTCAATAGGTTAGAAAACTATTAAATATATTATATCTGATTACTACTTATGACTTGGGTTGTATTAATATATTTGCTGTCTGCATTTATTTATTCGTTTAAAATTGTATATGCTATATGCACACTACATGGTACCATTCATATTTCATACTGATATATGTATCTGCAAGTARCTATATTTTAATATATAATAAGTATACCTTCTTAATAATTAATAAGATAATTCTACGATATTATTAAGACTAAAGAGCGATAGTATTTACCACGGATTAWACCTTTTTAATGTGAATTTCATTGGTATGATTTTTATACCTTTAAAAAAATATGTAAATTATTCCGGTGTAGGTATATGCATCATACTAGTTGCATCCCAAAATATAAAAATTTCCTTTGTTCCTTATYTTAATTAAAAAAATTAATATCTACTAAAGTTGCCTGTTCCCTCCGACGATTTGGTAATTCATAATGATATAAYTATACCAGTTGCCTTCCAAAAAGTTCACACTTATTGCCTCCTTTATAGAACTAAGTGGTGTAGTAGTGATTCATAAATCATAAACTTCACTAACATACTAAGATAGGTATACCATGTAAATAAATGAATTTATGTATAATACATATAATATAGTATGTTATAAAAATTATAAAAATCTAGTTTACAGTAACGGCTGTATATATTTAATTATTTAATAGAGTATAAATTAATATATTAGACAAATTCTTCTGCTAATTATTTTTGACTATAGTAAAAAACTCCATCAGCACATATATTTATGTTTATTTTTTCCTTATAAATAACAACATGGGAACTATAAAATACATRATGATGAATATTTATAACTTTATAAGTAGACACATAGCCAAATTTAATGTTTTTTATTACAATACATAATATATCTTTTTATTCTTGGATCTTTCTTCCRTTATTTATAACTTACTCAATCGGTTAATCATGTCAAATGCTCAGATACCAAAGCAAATCTAATAAGCAGCCACCAATGTGTATTTTACTTACAATGATTCTTTTCGTTTGATAAAAATTTGTTTTATATTTTAAATATTATCAAATTATTAAAATGCAATATAATTTGTAACATTTACTTACATACATAATATTATAGATTTTCATTGCCACACTAATATTATTTACATTATTATTTTATTTATTTTTTCAAAAATATAATATATTATATTATTAATGTGATGTACCTTTAGTTTTTATATTATATTATAATTTATTAATTACCTATACCATGTTGTTTCTTATTTAGAATAAAAAAGATAAAAAATAAAGACCAAGAGGTTCCTGATGATTTTTTAAATGAAATTCATAAATGGTCATTAGAATGTAAGCCAGTTGTACATCGTACATATAATTATCCTTTTAAAAATTAATACACAAACATATTATTTTATGTATATAGCTATCGCTAGAGTCGCATTGGATCAAAAACTCGGGTGCCTTGAAGATGAACATGCAGTAGACTCGGATACGCAAAATTTAATAGATGCTATCAACACGTTTTTTGCAAATGTCCCGGAGTTGGAATTAAAAATACCATTTTGGAAATTATTTAGTACACCAACTTGGAGAAAATACATAAATGCATTGGATACCATTACCAAGTGAGGAATCAATTTTAAACTAAACATTTTCATACACATCATTATGAACATAATTATGTAGTATTCACTATCCAACCACAAAATATGACAATATGTTGACAATGACTATGTCCATAATCAATAATCATAAGGTCGTTTTTGCGGGAATTGTGGCGGTGCTTGGGATTTGAGCTAAGAGTCTTTCAAGCCTCCTATAAAAGCAAATACAAATTAATCGTAACATGATCCGTTATATGTAATATTGTCTAAAACTCTAAAATGTCTACAAGTACTTTTCTATATTAAGCACTATATTTTGTGTATAGAATACTTTCTTAGTTATAGTATGTATATTTTGACTTAAAAAGGGTAGTGATAAATGAAGTGGTCTCATAAATGTCAATGTAAACCTAGCGTCATTATTTTAAAAATAAACCATACAACTGGAGAACTTTATTCTGATGCATAGTTGGTTTGAATTTAATACATTACTGTAATTAAGTCAATTCAAAGGGGAAAAAACAAATAGTTTGAATTTAAAATGCTTTTGTCACATGTTCGATTTTTTTAAATGCTGTTAGATCAACTTCAGAAGAAGTCGTGTCATATTTTCAAAACTTGGGGATTAAAACATTACATCTTATGGAATACATATACTGGTTTTTAAATTTTCAAGATTTTTAATTGATATCTAACTAAATATACATAAAAAAAAAATTATAATTTTGTAACATAAATCATTAGCTGTAATTAAAATTTTAAAACGGTGTTTTGATTTTTGAGTGATGAAGTGGCTATATTATATCTTATTATTATACTTGACTAATATTTTATGATTTGAAAGTAATCCAATGTGTACAATATCAAATTATTAAACGAATTGTATCATRATTTTTTTTTATAGTGTGACATCCAAACATATAAACAAATCAATGGATCAACTATTATCTCAAAAATCATTTTGCCCAGATAGCCAATCATCTTTGTTACAAAGAGTGCTCAGTTTAGATCCATCAAATCCTAAATTAGCTCAGATACTATCGCTAGACATGTTTATCGTTGGCATAGACACGGTGAGATATCGTTTTGTTATAACTAATACCTAACTAATGATAAAGTTTTCACTTGTTTAATGATGAAAGTGATGATGATGAATAATAATTTTTAACGATGTATAGACTTCTGCAGCTCTTGCATCGATTCTTTATCAATTAAGTCGACATCCAGATAAACAAAAGAAGCTCAGGGAAGAAATAAAAACCGTATTGCCAAATGCTCATTCAAAATTGACTTCCAGCAAACTCGACCAGCTGCAATATCTAAAAGCATGCATAAAAGAAACATTAAGGTTTGAAATTAGGTTTTAATTTTATAAAAAGTATTATGTATTAAACTGGATTTTTAAACTGTATCACGTAATGTGTGTAAATTGTTTATTTTTAGAATGTATCCCGTGGTTATTGGAAATGGTCGCTGTATGTCCAAAGAAACAATAATAAGAGGATATAAAATTCCAAAAGGAGTAAGTATGTAATATTTTACTGTAAAAGTTATAGTTATGTAGTAATATATYATTAATGAAAGTTAAACGTAAATTTAACATTCTATATTTATGGAAACAAATGAAACAATTTTAATTACCTAGGTACCTACTTTTAATATGAATTATATAATTTATTCGAAATTACCTATATAGATAAGTGAAAGTGGGTACAATCATACTAAATATGTATACGTTATACCTACTATTAAACTCTAATTATCGTTTACAGTGTAGGATATATTAATATAGGTTACTRCATGATAAATTAAATAATGACCAATGCCGTCAAACCAAATGTCCATAAGAATTATATTACATAATGATTTGTAAAGTATGTGTTTGTACAATTTATTATTCATTAATAGGTTCAAGTCGTGTTTCAACATTACGCTATTAGCAACAGCAGTAAATATTTTTCACAGCCAGAACAGTTTTTACCGGAAAGGTGGTTAAAAGGAAGTGGATATAAACATCATCCGTTTGCTAGTTTACCATTTGGTTATGGTAAAAGAATGTGCCTGGGCCGCAGATTTGCTGATTTGGAACTTCAGACAGTTGTTTCAAAGGTATATTATATTATTATGTGATCATAATAAATGTATTAGCGACATTGATTGTAAATGAATTATCAATAGATCACGACTTATTGTAATTGTTTTATCAAAGATTTTTCAGAATTTTGAAGTCAAGTACGAATATGATGATTTGGAATACACTGTACACCCGATATATATGCCGGATGGCCCATTGAAATTCAAAATGATTGAAGACTAACTATTTTTTTCTTTAGGAATTGTATGTCAAGGCTAAATACTACAAAATATGTATAATATTGTTGATACCTAAGAAATTTGAATAAGTACTTTAATAATACTACTATTAAATCGTACAGCCAAAATCTAAATTATTTAAATATGTATTTTTGTTAGATTTAAATATTAAGTATATTATAATCAGTGGTGTATTGGAGGGTATACGCGGGTATACCCTACCACCAGTTTACTGATTTACCGTATACCCTGTAAAATTAGGTACTGGAGATACGCAGGTATACGCACGTATACCATCAAACAAATTTTATTGAATTACCAATTGTCTTATAATTATAATCGTTAGAAAAAATGTATAACATCAATTATTTTTACCACATACATGGCAAACAGAGCGAAATTATGTGACAAAAAGTAAGTTCTAAGGTTCTAACTCCATCTTATCCTATTGCATTGCGTAAATATGTCTAATAACCTTTTTTTTGGGGGGGGAGGGGGTAGATAAATCAATTTAAATATAAAGACGTGGTGGCGGTATACCCCACGACCCACCATAAGTTAATTTTAGGTTTAGGGAGAAATTTTTTTTTTTGAGAGAGAAAGAGAGACAAGGTTTAAGCTSCCCACCCCTCTCCCATCAATATACCTACGTCTATGTGCTGAGCGTACACCCTAGAAAAAAATTACGAATACATCACTGATTATGCTATGCATATGCACAGTGGCGTATTTTCAATAACTTCTTGAGTGAGGGCGGGGGGAATTTAAGTTTTTCAGGTCAGCTTATATCGTCTAATTATCAGAAAACCCGTAATAAAATATTGATTTGACATTGAACTCTTTTTTTTGTCTTTTAGGGGAAATTGTATACATTTTAACTAACACATGCAGTCATTCATCAAGCATGATCACCCTCTTTTTTTCTTCAATAATGTAGTTATTCAAAATCTGATTTGAAAACACTTTCAAGCTTTTTGACTTAACAAAATAAAATATTGACATTTACAGAAAAATAACTAAAACAAAATTTCAAATTGTTTAGCTCTAATAAATTAAATTTACATTATTACACCAATTATTTTAATTAAAACTATTTATGATTTACTAAACTTAATATAATCGTATTTAATAAACTAGTAAATTTAAGCTTAATTTTACCATAAAAATTTCCAAAAAAAAGCTGTATAGCTAGGTACCTTAATTATATATTTATATTTTATATGGAATTTAAAAAAAAACAACAAAAATAGACAGTATGTTTCTTTTTTTAAGCTTAATTTTACCATAAAAATTTCCAAAAAAAAGCTGTATAGCTAGGTACCAGAATCTATATTAAAAACATTTATAGTTGTTATAATTTAAAATAGTTATGTTGATTTTGCTGTTAATACTACCGAGTGCTTAAAAATTAGAAAATTGGGATAAAATAATGTCTAGGTTA